ATCACTCAGGAGGTATGGCCAACACAGACAGGTGATCACTCAGGAAGTATGGCCAACATAGACAGATGATCACACAGGAAGTATGGCCAACATATACAGGTGATCACTCAGGAGGTATGGCCAACATAGACAGATGATCACACAGGAAGTATGGCCAACATAGACAAATGATCACAAGAAAGGTATGACCAACATAGACAAATGATCACAAGAAAGGTATGACCAACATAGTCAGGTGATCACACAGGAAGTGTGGCCAACACAGACAGGTGATCACTCAGGAGGTATGGCCAATATAGACAGGTGATCTAACAGGAAGTATGGCCAACATAGACAGGTGATCACTCAGGAAGTATGGCCAACATAGAAAGGGGAACACACAGGAAGTATAGCCAACATAGACAGGTGAGCACACATGACGTATGGCCAACATAGACAGGGAATCACACAGGAAGTATGGCCAAAATAAACAGATGATCACTCAGGAGGTATGGCCAACATAGACAGGTGATCACACAGGAAGTATGGCCAACACAGACAGATGATCACTCAGAAGGTATGGTCACCATTGCCAGGTGATAACACACGATGTATGGTCAGTATAGACAGGTGATCACAAAAGAGCTATTTCACATAAGAAAGCTTTCTCAAACAGACAGGTGATCACTTAGAGCTATGGTCCTATTGACAGGTTTTCTCAATTAGACAGTTTATCATACACGACGTATGGTCACCTTAGTCAGGTGATCACACACGATGCATGGTCAGCATAGACAGGTGATCACAAAATAGCTATTATCGCATAAGACATCTTTCTCAAATAGACATGTGATAACATGCAATGTATGGTCATCATATACTGGTTATTAAGTCAACATACACAGGTGATCACGAAATACGTATGGTCACTATAGTCAGGTGATTACAAAAAAAGCGATGATCACATCAAAAGGCGTTTTCAAATAGACATATGATTACAAAAATGATATGGTCACCCTAGACAGGTAATCACATCAAGCTATGGTCAAATTGATGGTTCTCATATACAGGTGATCCCACAAGAGGTATTGTCATCATTTACAAACGATTTAGTTTATTCAATGTTATGTTAAATATAAAGTCGGCATCAGTTCCGCGCTATCACATGGAGACAAACACGAACATATCGCAGCCTCCCAAAACACATACGTATATACTACACGCATGCATTTTTGCACACAGGGGTGGCCGTCCTTAATTGACCAATCAACATAGACAGGTGATCACACAAGATGTATGGTTATCATAGACATGTGATCACACAAGAGGTATGGTCACCATTGTCATTAATTTAATCATTAGAAATCATACTTAAGATTCGATAAGGTATAGAAATCTCCGTGGTCATACATTCCTCTGATGTTTCCAATTAGCATTCCAAACATTTTTGAATTGATAAGGCCTTTTCGACCGGAGAGTATTTTCTTTAGGTAATTTATTTGTGTCACGGTATTTTATATATTTTTTTTGTGTCATACTAACATCGGGACACATTTATTTTAATTAATGTTTTTGTGTTATGCTGTTTCTTTATTTTGTGTCATGCTAATTGCATGACACATTTATTTTGCTCTATTTTTGTGTCAGGCTGCTATCAGCCATCGTACTGGATGAGACTGCAGTCAGTTTCATCGGCAGCTACCTCAGCGGCAGACTGCAGCGGATTAGACTTGAACCTGATGTCAACAACTGGCAGCTGCTGAGGAAGGGAGTCCCCAAGGGGTCAATTGTCGGCCCACTGATTTTTATTTTTACGTTTCTAAAAGACCATTTTGTACAATTATGACAATACCCGTTCATATATCAGCAACAACTGTTCTTTAAACCTTAAACTTACTCTAGAAAAAGAAAGATTTTTTTTACTAAACTGGTTTTCAGCAAATGATATGAAAGCAAATCCTAGTAAATTTCAGGCCTTATGCACAGGGAAAAAAAACTGTGACAACAGTAAATCCTTTTCTATTGGAGACTAGGTAATTGATTGCAAAAATAATGTTACTCTGCTAGGTGTGGAGATTGACTCTGTATTAATATTGATGACCATGTATCTAAGATCTGAAGAAAGGCCTCCAAAAAATTAGCTATTTTGAAAAGAATTTGAAATAGTCTTACCAAAAAGGGAAAGATCACCGTTTTCAAATCTTTCATTTCATCGAATTTTAATTACTGTCCCCTAGCCTGGCATTGTCGTAGCCTCAGCAAATATCTTAGAGGAAGAAATACACTACCAACGGCATTGGATAAGTGATGTCACGTTAAGCTGATGTTAAATGAATCAGTATGTTGTATAAGTGACGTTACGTTAAGATGATGTTAAATGAATCTGTGTATACGATAAGTGATGTCACGTTAAGCTGATGTTAAATGAATCAGTATATTGGATAAGTGATGTCACGTTCAGCTGAAGTTAAATGAATCAGTATATTGGATAAGTGATGTCACGTTCAGCTGAAGTTAAATTAATCAGTATATTGGATAAGTGATGTCACGTTAAGCTGCTGTTAAATGAATCAGTATATAAGATAAGTGATGTCACGTTAAGCTGCTGTTAAATGAATCAGTATATAAGATAAGTGATGTCACGTTAAGCTGAAGTTAAATGAATCATTATATTGGATAAGTGACGTCAGGTTAAGCTGATATTAAAGGAATCAGTTTATTTTTGGCACCAGGTAAAATTATACCAAAAACCTACTCTGTAAGAATAATAAAGAACGGTTCGGTTCAATTGCTTTATTTCTCCAAATACCATTACAATTTTCCTAACTCCCAACTTATTGGATAAACCTGATATGATTTGATTTGTTTAGGTCTATCTCTGATGTCAAGTAACAATGCATCCCGACATCATTTATGACGTCAAAGTTCATAGCAATTATTTCCCCGATCGCACAAAGGAGCAATGCATTCTCATGAAAAACACGATTTTGTAGAAATATCCGAACGTTATGAGAGAGAAAAATTCCCGGAAATGCTAAGTTAATTTTCAGATTGTAAGCGACACTCGGTAAACCTTATAAACACTAAAACCAACCATCAAGCATTGAGAAACCACTATTTTGTTCAATTAACTTTAAATTAAGTTAATATTAGCTCAATAAGTCGGACTACAGGTACAAGAAACGTAAACTGTTTTTTATTAAAATTTTAATGTCACTTAGAGCTCTTTCTGAAACCAATATTTACAACAAATACGAAGTTTTAAAATTGTATCTCGTTGATACAGAGATACAACCATAGAAAGCAATGTTACTGCACTAGATATAATGTAAGGTCAAACATGTGTGCATTGTAAGGTAGTTGGATAATTCAACACTTATTGTTTGACATGTATATGGTATATTTATATGGTCGGTATATGTGTATCATTTCTCAAAGGGTAATAACTCTCTAGTTTAGTATGTAAAGTTTGCTGAATGTTAGCAGCTTGTGAAATATAAAACCTCTGAGCGCTGTGAAGCAGAGACGAACGTCATAAAACAAGGCGTTATCGTCAGGAGATATTGACGAGACCAAACATGATCTGCTGTCCCTATTGTGATCTGATGTCCATATTGTGATATGATGTCCCTATTGTGATCTGATGTCCCTATTGTGATCTGATGTCCCTATTGTGAATTGCTGTCCCTATTGTGATCTGATGTCCCTATTGTGATCTTATGTTCCTATTGTGAATTGCTGTCCCTATTGTGATCTGCTGTCCCTATTATGATCTGATGTCCATATTGTGATCTGATATCCCTATTGTGATATGTTGTCCCTATGGTGATCTGATGACACTATTGTGATATTTTGTCCCTATTATGATCTGATGACACTATTGTGATCAGATGTCCCTATTGTGAATTGATGTCCCTATTGTGATCTGATGTCCCTATTGTGATATGATGTCCCTATTGTGATCTGATGTCCCTATTGTGATATGTTGTCCCTATGGTGATCTGATGACACTATTTTGATATTTTGTCCCTATTATGATCTGATGACCCTATTGTGATCAGATGTCCCTATTGTGAATTGATGTCCCTATTGTGATCTGTTGTTCCTATTGTGATCTGATGTCCATATTGTGATCAGATGTCCCTATTGTGATCTGATGTCCATATTGTGATCAGATGTCCCTATTGTGATATGATGTCCATACTGTGATCAGATGTCCCTACTGCAACACATGGGATATAAATCTTGTCTCTGCTCCACTTCCCCACTCTTTTTTTCATCGGTGTCTCCATATCTTCCCGTCTCTTTATTACCTTAGCTCTAACAAGGATGTTAAACCAGAAACAAAACACTCGATCCTCCTAATCGTTATGATGGTAACGAAACTTTGCCTTACTTGAGGCTATTCTCCCAAGCTGTTTCAGAGACCTAGGACATCACTACAAATGTGTTACTGCACACCATATAGTTAGCTACTACTGCAGATTGACGCTGATATAGGCTTAAATCAAGAACGTAGCTAAACAAAACTATTTTATATTATAATACTTTCCGTTTTATTGACCTTATTGTGATGTTTAAACAAAATCGTAGTTATTTCCTTCAAGTTGTAAAGAAATCACATGTTAACCTATTGTATTTGTATACTGTAAATAAATCACAAGTTAACCTATTGTATTTGTATACTGTAAATAAATCACAAGTTAACCTATTGTATTTGTATACTGTAAATACATCACATGCTAACCTATTGTATTTGTATACTGTAAATACATCTCATGTTAACTTATTGTATTTGTATACTGTAAATAAATCACAAGTTAACCTATTGTATTTGTATACTGTAAATAAATCACAAGTTAACCTATTGTATTTGTATACTGTAAATACAACACATGTTAACCTATTGTATTTGTATACTGTAAATACATCACATGTTAACCTATTGTATTTGTATACTGTAAATACATACAAATCAGTGTTATCGTTTAACTTCGATGTTGTAGCACTTTTCATTCAAACACATTGCTTTTATTTATTTAAACCATGTCGTATTTCTACATTTTAACATGTTCGTTGTTATTTAAGAATACAACAAAACTCACTGTGTTGTAGTCAATGTACTAAAGTGTTTCCTTTTGAGACGTACAAATTAAAGGACAGCCACATTTTATTGTAATCAGTAAAACCTGTTGTTTAATTTGTCTTCACAAACTAGATCCCGGCATCCTCTGTTCGTCATAGAGTAGTCTTAGAGCGCAGAAAGGCTTCCAGTTTCGGAGGTTCATTCAGTGCCTGTTAATACAACGTAAACAGTGAGAATACAGAACAGTAGCAAATATACAGTGCTCATCAAGTATTGACGTCAAAGTAATTTGAAAATATAAAGTTAACTGTGAGTCATTAAGGTTTTGCGAGTTTTATATGTCGCTATCATTTTTGTGTAGTAGTCAACATTTAATTTGAAAATCTCGAGAGCATACAGCAAAATACAGTTGTAAAGAATTAAATGGACTTTACCCAGGAAGTAACATTGTAGAAACACTTTCTGTGACGGCGTTAAATAGCGTATGAGATATAGAAATTTCATGGTTTTGAATTTTTACAATGATAAGAATAACATTTGGCAAGATAATACAAAAAGGTGCAAATATGTACAAAATTGTCCCAACAAGCTTATGTTTATACAGTTATGATTGAATATTGTCACTCGTAAAAAGAAAGTCTGCCTCTCTCATCCCGTTGTTGTGTATTGTACTTTTTCAACCAGAGTTTCCTCCCTTCTATTATTTTTATCAAGCTTTTATATAAAGATTAAATGTTGACTAAGATACTTAAGTCGTTCCAATTACTTGCAAACATATAAATTACTTGTAAACATATAAAAGTTCGCGAATACGTATACTGTAATTTTTGAGACAGATTGTATCGTTACATTTCATTACCTCTACAACATATTTCTTTTTCTGTCGTGTGCCGTTATTGGCAGTCTGTGCCCTTCGTGTAGACTGTGTCTCTTTTGAACTCCCCTCTGTTTGTCCTCCCCCTCCCCGACTGCGATGTTTCCAATCCTTCATTTGTTTCTCGAGTTCCATCAATACCCGGGTACTAGTCTCCAACTCAGGAAGGAAGCTGTCAAGGCCCATATAATGAATATCTAACACTTTCATTAATTTAACAAGGCCCTGGTCATGTTTTTCGAGCCGTGAGTACTCATAAAATCCATAATACAGAAATTCTTTGTCACCGTTTCCTGTGCGTCGTTTGTGCTTCGATTTCAAGAGTTTTAGTGACTCTGTATCACGAAGTTTGATTGTGAGATATTTCAGAAAAGGTGCGTACGCATCCGAGAGCTGTGATCGGTGAATGTACAAAAATAGTCTCATACACAATGTGTCTTTCAACATGTCAACAGCTCGAGCTGCTGAACGGCGATGGAATAAGCGTTGGTAGTTAGCTTTACTGAGAACAAGTATTTCGGAACTTCTCGTCACTGTACATGTCTCTATAAACGTAGGAAGTCCAATGACTAGCTCCAAAGCTCCTGTGGTAAACAATATATGCAGTGAGATATTCAAGTAATACGATCATTCTTTGATAAAAGTAGTTCATCTAATGAGTGTGGATAGTAGGTAAACAATTGGTAGTTTGACTGCGAATGAGTGCCTATCATATGCAAACAAATGTATACTATAGTTTTTCCAATGCTGAATGCAGTAAAACAAGCCCAAATGAAAATGTCATTGGCTAATTGTGGTGAAACAAATAACTAAATGACATGTTAATTGACTCCTCGGGGGAAACAAACGCCTTGTGGTGAAGCAAACATATCAACCACAATGCATGTGGGCCCCTTCCGCTTATACAATGATTTAACGAAATTTCGTATGCTTCCCGATGCAACACAAAATAGTAAAGGGCACTACTATTTGGCATGTGTATTATTATTCCTATAACAAACACTTGCTTTGGATACACGCGAGAAACAGGTAACTCACCGACAATTTCATTGGCTCCAAGGAGACACATGGGATACTGCCTGTGCGCGATTCGTTTTCTCTTCAACGTTTCGTAGGGTGAGTAGTTCATTCCGTAGTTTCTAGAATGAATTAAGAACAAAAACCTTTACAAGGAAAAAACAAAATACTGCTTGTCCTCACAACTCCTCTTCTACATAGTGTTACATGTAAGCATACAATTCGTATTGTGTTTTATCTGCATATGATAAAAATGCTTGTTTGACACACACGCACCCAAAATTACAGCAAAATTGAAAAAGTGGAAAACATAATATGGAGATAATTCGTCGGGAACAAGCCTTTCAAACCTTTCAAAAAGACGAACTCGGAGAAAATACCAAATAAAAAGAACGATAAAAGG